AGCTCTGATACAAGAACAAGTAACCAAGCTCTTCTTTCCTCTTCATTAGTCTCTTATAGCTGATTAACAGAATGGGGTGCACAATCTCAACTCCACTCAGCAAAAGATATTCTCCACATACAAGCACTGAGGAAGGAGTTCTTGATGTCAAAGGTGCAAACTCAGAAGGGTTAGGGCTTTTGACTGGTGGGCTATTAAAGCCTGTTCTCCTTGCTACAAAGAGTCTGAGAGGTAAGGCTCAGCTTATAGTAATCTTCACCAAGACAAAAAAATGAGTTTCTACCCATCTAGCCACTTAGTTTTGAAAACTTGTTGAAATTAGATTAAGGATAGGCAACAGTGGTAAAAGAACACGGTCTCCCCCCCATCTTTGTTTTGTTCCTGTGGTCACACAAATTTTGTTTCATTATGAAAAAAATCCTAAATTTTAATATGTATTGTTTCACATATTACATAGAAATAAAACTGAATATAAAGAAACCACATCCCTAAAACTGGGGGGGGGGGGGAAGAGAAACACCATAGATCCTGCTTTACAGATGCTCTGTTTTATTTGCACCAGTAACAATTTGACACCAAATTCTTCCTTAATCCAACTGAAATACCACCAAAAAACAAAACGTTTTTAGGTGTGTTCCTAGTCTAAATTAGAATTTCCAGTTAGTCTGATCAGAATTACAAGTCACTGACTACAGTGGCTTGACCTTGGCTGGCTGCCAGATGCCCACTAAGCCTCACGCTCCCTCGCTCTTTCCCTCCCTCCCTCCACGGGAGGGTTGAGAATAGAGACAGCATTTTTAACCTCTTTTTTAAAGATGTTGTCACAGAGGCGTCACCAGCATCGCTGACTGGCTCAGCCGTGTCCTGCAGTGGGTCCATTTTGGAGCCGGCTGGAACTGGCTCTGTCCAGAGTGTGGACACCCCCTGGCCTCTCCTGATAGGGGCCACCCTTGCAGCCCCCCGCTACCAAAACCTTGTCACGTAAACCAAATACACTGGCAGGTTCAAAAGATTGCTGAATCCCAGCTACCAGCTGCTTACAGCTTACGAGAAAGACAGCTTACCCCCCGCAAAACCTGACTTCAGCTAAAACTGCTTGTCAGCAATGAAGACTTTGAGCTGTACTTACATAAGCAAGCAAAAGAAACAAAGAACTATAGAAATGAGCCTGTCCATAAAAAAAAATTAAGTTGCCTTTATGTCCTAAGGCAGACAGAGTCTGTGCAGTTTCTTTGCATTCTCACTAAACCGATCGTCACAAGCGTTCTTCTTGTCATCGTCAATCTAGGTAATATGAAAACATGCTAACACAAACTTAGAGCAGTTAAGCAGAAGTCATAGCCAAATAACTGAAGGAAAAGGTTTAATATAATTTAGTCACAAAGTAATCATATGTAACAAAGTTAAGTTCTATGTTCATTTTCTGAAATCACCGACTTTCCAGATGAGCTTACAAAATTTACAAATTGCAGTTTAGATGACGTAGACAACTAGTTTTCAAATTATAGTCTGCTGACCTCTTTGGGAGGATGAGAGAAAAAAAAATAGAACAGTAGGCCCTGGGCTATTTCTATTTCTATTTGGGCTATTTCTTTAGGGTCTGTGAAGAGTAATTAAGATAGCCTGATCTGACTGCAAGTTTTGTTAAGCATCAGTGTAAGTCAGTCCACATCTCTACTGGAAAAGGCAAACAATCAGCAAAAGGAGTCAGATGGAATCAGACGTGAACTGTGCGAAAGTAAGGAGATTCATCTTACATGAAATTAATGGTCCAAATAAAAACTAAATGGGCATTAATTAAGAAAACCGGTCAGTGAACATGTCCTTACTTGCAATTAGAAATTCAGTAAGATTGTTAACTCACCCTCAAATTTAAATTCTGGAAACTTGGTTAGATCTCCCTCACCATACGCCCGTTGAAGTCTAGCCAGGGATTCATTCATGTCTTTCTGAAACTCGGGGCCTGCATCAACAGGCCCTCCAGCTTGCCTAAAAAACATTAGAAGTTCTGATTAACAGTTCAGTTCTGAAATTTCATGTGGAAGTTCTACATTTTCATGGCTATTTATGAACTAAAAACCTTTTTGACAACCAACTAAAGCAAACCATGTAAAACATTTCCAAAAGTCAAGATACGACACACCTTAGGGCCTACTTACCTTACACATAAACAAGGTTCTCAGGGTAAAGTACAGGCTTTCTACCATCAATGATGAAAATCCAAGCTACAGAGGTAGCCTTCTGAGACATAAAACTACTGAGCATAGTAGTTTTATAGAAAGTTTTATAGTAGTTTATAGAAAGCCTGAGTATCCAGGCTTTCAGGGCTCTTAGTTTCACTTGTTGCAGGTGTGATTTCCTAACAAAGTTGTGACTTGTACCTCTGCTATTCCTGAATTGGTGATCTTGGTTAGTAAAGCTTAACGTGTTTTGAATACTAAACAAGCAAAAAAACCCAAGAGACAGGGCGCCTTGCATTCATATAGATTCAGACAGGAATTTCTTGGGATACAAATATAAAATAATTAAAATAGTAATTCTTTAGATTACCAGTGCTCAGTTGTACCAACGCAGATATCACCTGTGATTGGTAAAGCCACCAAAAATATGCCTCCCTACACAGGCTAGTTTGTAGGTGTGGAAACACACATCTTCCTCCAGTAGAACTAACAAGTGGCTTATTTCCTTCCCAAGGATAATTCCCAAGAATAAATTACACAGAATTACTGTAGTTTTAGTTTCCTGTTAGGTAGTTCGTTCAAACATTACAAGAATCTAAGATTCCATTTGAATGAACTGCTTACTAGCTTAAGATGTTTAATGAATCAGCCTCACAGTTCCGTTAATTCTCAATTGCTTTTGGAAGCTATTTCCATTCAGCTTCTGGAAACAAGACTGAAGAACAGCTGTTTTCCCCAGACAAAAAAAAAAGGGGCTTTTTTTTTTTTTTTTTTTTTTCTATTTACAGAGCACACAGATGGGTAAAAATTAACATACTGGTGTGTTCACATAGCGTGCACAAAAGCTTAACTGAGTGCCTTAACTCCCCAAGAAGAATGACATCAGCTTTACTACTTTTTTTTTTTTTAAAGAGGAAAAAATGGACATTTTCTGTCAGGTATGCAAGAACAAGCCTTCTGACTTGTGACACTATCAGTAAGTGCTGCAGGAAAGCATAACTTAAGTATTTAGAGACCAACCTATTTAGAGACCAACCTACAAAGCTAGCATATTTTAGCATTTGTCAAAATCAACATTCTTCCCCCTTTTGCCATCAGCCTTAAAATAATTTCCTTTACTTACTTGCTCTTTGTGTTGTACTCTCTGATCTTGTCCAAGAAGAGCTTCTGAACTGGATCGAGCTCTTTTGTCTTGTTAAAGACAACAGCAGAAAGCCCTATGTTTCTGCGCAAGTGAATGGAAACAGCAGAGCGAAAAATGGAAGAAAGTCGCAGAATCTGTTGCAGAATCATGATGACACTAATGTTTTAGCTAAAAAAAAAAAAAAAAAAAAAGCCAAAACAGAAACAGGGAATTAGCTGGCTCTTTCCACAATGTAAATGCATACAGAAGCAAAAAATTTAGATCAGAGATGAGCTTTAAACCAGAAGCAACATTTAAACCCGCACACACGCTGGGGTGAGAGCTCAAGCAGCCGCCGAGCCCAAAGAGCACCGTGCCACCCAGCACGCTGCTACTCCTCCCGTTCAACTGCGCACTGCCAACGACTTTGCCCGCGCCACCACCGAGACAAACAGGGAATTTCAGGTTTTGTCTTGTTTGAAGAAAAAGTAACAATTTTATCCCAGCCAAAGCCAGCAGCAGCATTGGCC